CCCAGGAGGGCGGTGCCACAAAGCCCAAACACTGGAGTCCTAATCTGCGGGGGATTTGACGTGCAGCCAGTTGGGGTTTATGCTGCCTTTATGTGCTCCACGTAAAATCCAACTTTTGAACGTTGAACTTGGAAACAGTCTCTTTACCCCGTTGAGCGCTCCAGCAAGGCTTGCTTCTAATTCAGTTATTATTATTATTATTATTATTATTATTATTATTATTATTATTATTATTATTATTATTATTATTATTATTATTGAAAGCTACTTAAAAGAGGAAAAGGGGTGTGTTGTTTTAGGCTCTCTGTATTTTAGGCTTGAAAATCAAAATCAAGCCTAAAATACAGAGACCATCAGAACATCGTTGTAATCGACTGCAGGTTTAAAATCTGCACTTGCCTTCTCTTCAGCATATCTGCTAAAGTCAGTGGTATCAGTGCGTCTGCCTTATCCTTGGTCAGTTACAACAAAGACATGTATCTAATTACTCTCACTGCAGATGAAGCAGAAAAGCAGTGGTGCTGTAGTGCAGGCTATTTCGCTTTAAATGGGAAATACATTAAATCAGAAACAAACAATACGACAAAGAAGTCCCAATATTTAGTAAATTCAGGGAGGATTAATAAAATATTCGTAAAACAACGTCATACAACCCCACAGGTCGCTATAGAAATAATTATTTAAAGGGAAAATATCATCAAAAATAGCAAATCAGACAGAAGGAAAAATCTTCATTATTTGAAAGGCTTTCTGAGCTTTTATCGCCATCCTCCAATAACGTTTATCTGAATGCCTGAAAATATGTCAGCGACGCTCTTTGATAAATGAAATGATCTTTGCGTTTCCAAAAATAGAATATAGATTTAGAATATGGTGATCTGGACGTGATATTTGCCTCCCTGGATTAATAGGTTTCCTAGCAGTTTGGTTGGGTTATGACCTGGTCAGGAAAATCCACATGGGCTACCTACGTGGCCTCGACCGCTCCTGGTTTAACAACCACCTCGATTTTGTACTTCGACCCGGTCAGAAGCTTGATGGTTCGGGTCTGTCCGAACCGGGTCCCGTCGGATTTGAAGTACACGGCTGTGTTGTTAGGAAGCATCTTCAGTGAAATCCCAATTTTCACGATCTGCGGAACGTTGGCCATGTTTCCATATAGCTAGTGTATCTCAGGAGGACCGCGGGGTGTGGGAGGGATCGTCGATCAGTTCGTGGAAACTGAGAAATGCCGTGTGGTGAATCCCAGAGAGCACCGCGCAGCACGGGGAATTGCGCTGCGTAATCCCGTCCAACCTCCAGAATATAAACCTAATCCCAACCGTTGCACTGTCTCTCTCTCCCTCTCTCTCTATACACACTCTATCACCGACTATAGCCACCATCCTCTCGATCGCTCTCTCACCTATCGTCACTGTTTGCTTGCAACACAACCAATGCTGCTAGTATAATAGGTCATCTATTCTCTCTCTTTATATCTATGTATATCTACGTTGTCATCGACCAATGTAAAATTTGTGTCTCGCTGTCCTTGGTCCTGAAGTCGTGCCAGTTAAGACAGCGGAGCACTTAAAGTGATCCTCAAAGGACCGATTAATCCTTGAATACTCTTAACACCGCGCACAGCTCTCCTTGGGTTAGGCGTCGAAAGTGACACATCGTCACAAAAACCCTTAAAATGAAGCAGTTTGAATTTTAACCCCCAAATGCACGAAGAAACAAACCTGGTCTCAAATTCTGTTCACAGAGCCGAATGACTGAAATTAGTCAGTGTACAGTAAACAGCATTAGTCTAGCTGGCAGTAGTTTCGAATCTATTTATTGAAAAGAGAAGTGTTATCTATATACACTAGAAAACCCCAATTTTTTCAGGTTTTTATTGAAAATTATGCAGTTTAATGTCTCATTGAGCTCTGAAATGAAAGCATAGTACAAATAAGCAATAAGAGTTAAAAAAGAAATCATGGAATCAATTTAGAAACCAAACTTTATTCTAAACCTTTGACTCAAGTAGCCACCTTTGGCAGATATAACAGCTGAACACCCCGGTGGCACATTACAATAAAAATCGAAAGCTCTTCTCATATCTGTTGCAGAGATTACCATAAATGTGGGGCACATGTAGGTTGCTTTGCTTTCACTCTTCTTTCCAGTTCGTCCCAAGACCAGCTCGATGGGAGAGACTATGCTGGCCACTCCATACTTTCAAGCTTACTGTCTTGTTCTTTTTTCCTAAGTAAGTTTCTGGCATAGCTTGGACTTATGTTGTGGATCATTATCTTGCTGTAGGATGAACCCCTGACCAACTAGGGGCCGACCAGAGAGTGTTGCATGCCGCTGCAGAATGCTGTGGTAGCTGTTTTGGTTCAGGGTGCCTCTCACGCTGTACAAGTCATTGACCCTGGATCCAATAAAACAGCCCCAGACCATCACACTTCCTCCTGCATGTTTGACAGTTGATGCCACACACTGTGGAACCATCCTGTCGCCTACTCAATGGTGTACAAAGATCCTGTGTGATGAACGGAAGATTTCAAATTTTATTTCATCAGTCCATAATACCTTCTTCCAGTCTTTCATGGCCCAGACAAGCCTCTTTGTCTTATTCTGGCATCTTAGGAATGGCTTTCTTGCTGCAACTCATCCTGTCAAACCTGCAGCTCGAAGTCTTCTCTGTAGTTAAAACTGAGACTTGCTTATTACGACCACTATTAAGCTATGCTTGAAGCTGTTGAGCCCCCTATCATGCAAGCTGTTAACTCCTAGAAACTTGTCCCCTGATTCAGTTGTGGCTTTGGGTCTGCCAGACCTCTTCCTGTCAGAGTTTGCCCCATTTTCTGAGTGCCTTTTGATGGTGAAGGAAACTGTACTCACTGACGCCTTGAGATTCTTTGCAATTTCTCTGTAGGACTGACCTACATTTTTAAATGTTATGATGTTTTGTCTCTCTTCCATTGTTGATTGTCTTTTTCTCGCCATTTTGGTAGCAACACACAACTTTCTGCAGTACAATACTGTTCAGCTGATGCTCACGAGGCTATGGTACCACAGTATGTTCCAACACTGCTTTTATGCAGACAGAGGCGCTTGTAAGTAATCCAGAAAAGTTGGAACACCTGTAGGAATTAGTAGACCAGCTTTTAAGGCTTGATCAACGTCTATTGCTGCAGAACAGCTTTAAATTGTTAACCCATTATGTGTCCCCCGAAAAAGGCCTTTTTTGTATAATTCTGAAAATGTACATTATTTTTCACTTTTGGGTAAACTTACCCTTTTTTTAACCTTTGCCAGTTCACCACTTACCTTTGTACCATTTCAAGCTATCCATTCATGGGTTTTTACGACTGGAATTGCAATAAATAACTGGAAAAATTTAGGTGTTCTAAAACGTTTGACCTGTAGTGTATATTCATAAAAAATTGAACATGAAATTACATTTTCCTCTTTTTAAATCATTCCTCCAGCCATGATTTATATCAAAAAATAAATATGAATAAAACACTTTAACTGATAGGGATAAACCAGAGAGAAAGAAAGAAAGAAAATGTCTTCATGTATGCTCAATCAAATCAATCAAAAGTCAAAACCACGATAAAATGGAAATATTCATGAGAAAATTCAGGGGTAGGCAACTCCAGGCCTCGAGTGCCGGTGTCCTGCAGGTTTTAGATCGCACGCTGGGTTAACACACCTGAATTAAATGATTAGTTCATTACCAGGCCTCTGGAGAACTTCAAGAAATGCTGAGGAGTCATTTAGCCCTTTAAATAAGCTGTGATGGATAATGGACACATCTAAAACCTCCAGGACACCGGCACTCGAGGCCTGGAGTTGCCTACCCCTGGTCTAGATAGACGCTGTGGCGCAGGCCATGAAGTGGGTAACCCCCGTACGTCCTATGATTGACCACTAGAGGTCAGGCTTGGATTGGAACTGGAACAAGCCATGTACGCGAATAATAACTGTATTGTTTTTCTAGCTAACGTGGTGGAAACTGATGGCCATCACTTCTACAACTATTACTAATACAAAAGCTGTTAAGTTGGGCCTGAAAATACTTAGTTGTAATTAAATACAAAAGAAGTTAGTGAAAAGTGATCAGATAGAAGGTTTAGAGTAAAAAACCATTCAGCTTCAGGGCTACCGAAGTTGTTTAAGTTATTATGGCAAGCAAGCAATTAAATAAATAATTAATTACAGCTCTTAAATTCAAGCCTAATTCATGTTTTTTTTTCGAGAACACATCGTGTACATTTAACTGGATGTATCCAGTAAAGGTGGAAAATAAGGCAGTAGTTCTCCACGGGTCACGTGATCGGTCAGTAGGGAAGAGCGTGACGCAGCTGTTACCAGCAAAGCATATTCTGTTTTGGGCGGAAATAGTTTTGGACCGAGCGGACCATCTTGTCTACAGCTGCTGAGTCCAGTTCTGTTTACTGTAAACTCTGTTTCTCCTAGTATGTAATAATGTTAATGTGCTGTTCATTCTCCTTTAAGTGTAAGCAGTCATTCAAGTTTTATTTAGGCATATGTGTGTAGGTTAATCCTTGTACACTCTTTAGTATTTCCCTTTACAGGCTACTACTTCATAGTTAACTTCCTCTGAAAGTCTTACCCCCAGAGGGACTTTCTTTCTTTGTAGAAGCGTTTCAAAGAAACTATGTTATTAGCTGTAGATAAGGTATCTTTATTTTGCTATTTGATGCATTTTCTTACATAAACCAAGCACAGTGATCACTCTTTGGGGGGTTATTGGGCAGTTTCATCACCTGCGTAAAATCTGCGTCATCGGTGCATATATATCTCTCTTGACGTTTCTTCGGTTAACATTTATCACCCAGATTGAAAATCTGCTATCGTTCAAGTCCAGATTTACGACATCTAATAATCTCGTGGCGCGGGTGGTGCTGCGCCCTTCCCGTCTGATGCGTAAAAGAGCACCATGACTAGCAGAGCACCGGCAGGCTTCACACACTTTGCCAGAAAGAGCCAAACCGGCGTGAGAGTGAGTTGAGTAACAAAGAGAGTGTGGGAGAACCCTCCCCCCCGTCAAATGTATCGATGGATCCACACCTTCATAACCCAACTCTTCTTCAGCTTCGCGCAGATGGCCAAAGTGTTCAAGCCAGACCGTGAAACTGTTCAGCCAATAGATTAGTTATTTAACTCTTCATCCACTGCTTTGTTGTACTTAGTGTGTAGTGAAAGTCAAAGTAGCCACACACCCTCTGGCCCAAAAGCACTTGGCCACACGTGAATGCCTGCCGGTCTCCCAGCGCACTCCACGCTTGCGCTAGTTATGCCATGCCGCGAAGTCATACCGGCGACGAAAGCGGCGGCAGCGGGATCTGGCTAAAGACCTCGACTGGACGTCGGGGGCAGGACTACCCACTAAAAGATGTGGAGTGCGGACGGCAGACTATGAATAACGTTGTGGGTGTCGGGGACGGTCTCCTGTCTCCAGCCGCGGCAGGTGCGGTGGGAGCGGAGAGGAAACAGGGCGCCCGCCTGAGTCTGCTGGGGAAGCCGCTGACCTACAGCGCGCAGAGCAACCGCAGAAACGCACGCTACCGGCGGCTCCAGAATTACCTCTACAACGTTTTGGAAAGACCGAGGGAATGGGCTTTTGTTTACCACGCTTTTGTGTGAGTACTTATGCTTGTGCAGCACAGAACTAAACACTACAAGTCGTTTAGAATCTCATGTTTATGCTTTCCGATTGAATAGGAGTTCCCCACCTCTGAAAGCTGAATCAGTAAAATATTTTGTTAGGCAGGGATAAAAGTGAACACACAAGATATCAAAATTTGTATTGATTTTTCTGCTGATGATAATGATCAGTTTGGGTCATGATACATTTATATATCACTCTCTGTGGTTTCTTCTTCTCTATGGAAGATGTTTGCATCTTCCTCTAAACATCCAACATGTCAAAAAATCATGTAAACACTTTTTGATTTAACCTTATTTATCTTGAAGGTCTTATGCCAGTTGTTGATACATTTAAATGGAATGAATATGTTACTTTTTGAATGTGACCACCTGTTGCTCCAGGTGTGCAGAAAAGACTAAGAACACAAAGCTGAAAAGGTTAGAATATAACAAGCATGTGTGCTAGTGTTCAGAAAAAGCAGACACAGTGCAATGCTACTATCCTCCAGGACATTATTGGTAGCTCCAGCAGTTTTTGAGCTCTTTAAGATGAGCAGCAGACTGTCAGCTGAAAATGGAAAAATGTAATAACTGCTGCTCCCTTGCATGATCTTGGTTCTTTCATCACTTCTTTCTACAGAGAGTGGCACTGGGAAAAGCCCTGAAGGGACAATTTTAAAGCTGACATGTTGCAGTTCTTAAATTCAAACCAGTCCTCTACTGACCACAGCTTGTTTTTTCTTCCTTTTTGGTTATTTTTCTGGTGTGAAAATGCTTCATGATCAAAATTTCTGATTAAAAAAAAATAGCATCCAGCTTCCTCTTTCTTCATGCAGTTTCCATTAGCCATGGATTATTGCTAACATTCAAGCAAAGCTTTTCTTGCTCATAGCTGTCAAGATCTAGCTAAACTATCACAATTTGTTGTTCTATTGCTCTTACGAATCCTAGGATGTTTATCAACATGACACACACGTACTGTAAACTGTATCTATTATCCACATCCAACAGTTGTGGTCATATTTTTAGAGAAAGCTTTTTGAGCACTCATATACAGTGACAACCCTCAAAAATTCGTCTCTGCTTTTCCCTTTTTGGTGTGCAGATCATCTGTCAGTAGAAGTGTGTAGGTGGTGTTGGTGCACTGATTAAGCAAGGGTTTCTGGAAGTAGCTCTTATTTCACTGTCTGCTGTGGTGGCTTTTGATTCTCTCTGTTAAACACAGGCTATGCAGTAAACCTATGCAACTCGTTCACACACGTACCAGTGTCAGCATGGTTATGGGTACAGATTAAAACACTGGATCCATTCCTTGTGCCAGTCAAGTCCCGTGTGAAGAGAAGGAAGAGGAGCTGTCAGAGGAGGGGCTCCACAGCCGGATGCTGACGTTTTATTTGCACAGGCAGGACAGCTGAGGTCGCAGGGGTTAAGTTGTTACATCTACTCACGACTGCAGCCTCCCACACTTTAGTAGTTTTGGATCAGCTGCACGTATGAAATGATTTAAAAGCCTCAAACAATTTGCTTAAGTGAGATGAAGAGAGCTTTGGAAAAAAAATACTCCTCCGTGTCAGAAAACATGTGTTTTAATGTCCAGTGGTGGAGAAAGAAAACAGAAACCTAACAAAGCAAAAGACAGGGGCAAAAGTAGGTTAAATTACAGATTTAATTTACTTATTGTAAAAAAGAAGCAGGTATAAAAAGAGGTAGATGCATTAGAATACTGCAAATTTTTGTCGTGAAGAGTCAAAATAAATGTATGGTTCCTGATTAGAATAGCGTTTCGTTGATTTAGAGGTAGGCCTGATGATTTTGAAATAATGGAAGTACTTTTGTGCAAATTGAATTTCTAGCCACAAAAAATTGCACTTATTCTTCACGGTTTCCGTTAGTGTATTGGAAGCGCAGCAGTCTATCAGGCCTAAGTTTACCCCCCACTGGGTCTGTGCATTGGTGATTAAAAAAAACAAATATATATATATAAATATATATATATATATAAAGCTGCAGGCAAGCACACAGACATTTTAGCTAGACAGACAACAGCATCAGGCAATACAGCAACAAAATGAGTAGAAATGTGCATGAGTTCGGTGATCTTAAAAGTGTCTTACTGTACAACGCCCATCTGAATGTCAGATTCTCTAATTGCCGCCACCACTTCTGGTGTTAGTCAGTTTTTAGATCTCTTCTCATGTGTAGTTTGTCCGGGGTCATTAACTTGTTGCTCTGTTACCCAAGAAACCTTTGAAGCCTTTGAGCAACACATACATAAACTTAAGTCACTGATCTAAAAAAAAAAAAATTGAATTAATGAATCTTCACGCGTAACTGAAGTTAAACTTTGAAGTCTGGTTTTAATTGAATATAGCAAATCACATCTTCTATTGCAAACTCTTCAAATGCGGATAGTTTTGATCCATCTAGACCACAAATGAAAGCTAGTGTGTAAATGCAGCATCTCGCTGCAACTTGTCCACAGTGTGATGTAGATGTATGGCTTCACAAACTTAGAATCGCATGGCTTCACACATGTGTTACTCACAAACACATTCACACGTGGTAAGTGATGAACCAACACACAAACAGCACAAAGCGCATGATTTATAAAAGAAAAGTTCCTTTGATCGTTTAATTAGTAAGCACTTATGTTGAAACAGATGCTGCTGTGTGTGCGTGTGCATGTGTGTGTGTGTGTGTGTGTGTGTAGATCCACACCGTACAGATGCGTAGGAAAACAGCTGAATGGTGTGTGTAGGTATTTGAATTATAAGTATGTATACTACACTCCTTAGGAATCCCTGATGTGCTCCTGATATCTGCTGATGGGCTGCAGATATCAAGACACTGATAAGCATCTAGGCTTATTTCTTTCCAAATAATGCTCCCACACTGAAACACTGCTGGCATTAAGATTCAATCTCTTAATGAGATGGCGTGTGTTGGGCTAATCACATTTGCTAAAATGGGTTCCAGCCACAGTCTGCATTTGTGTTCTATACTCAAAAGATGATTCCTTCCTGTGCATGTGTTTTAGTGTGTATGAAAGTAATGTCTTACCTATTTTTTTCAGATCTATTTATTCATTTTTCTTGTGTGAGTTTAAGATGACACAAGCATCCATGTTTTTGTTTTCGTGTCTGAAAACGAGTTGCAGAAACGCTTCAGAGTTTGTGTGAGATTGAATGAGTCACACATGGTGTGAGTGCAACAGCAATTGATTCCAGGGTCATTTTGGTCTGCTGACAGGTAAAATGTCAACATCGCCTGATGATTTGCCAGGTGGATGGACACCTTCTCTAATGACCAACCTCTGTCCCACTTTATCTTTCAACCAGACTGGCTTGTACTGAGTCGCTTATGCGTTAACTGTTGACTTTAACTGGAACTGGGACACTTTTAATGCAATGTAATATTTACTATAATGGACAAAAAAAAATCATTAAATGTTGTATGTGATATACATTGGTCTACCAATGTAAACCTGACTTTAATATTATTGTTTCTCCTGTGTCGCCAAAAAAGCTTGATCTTTTCTTGAGGCAGCATGAGACACCCCACCATTTGCAGACATATCCTATAGGCACTGGGTAGGGTGTAGCGATTACATGGCTTGGACTTGGGGATGTTTGATCACCTTTGGATGTGGGGAATTTGGAAGTCAAAACCATCCGTGGGGTCTTTGTCATGTTTGCGATCAGTTTCTGGGATGTTTTTGATACACAGTGGAGTACATTGTCCAGCTGGAGGAAGCTGTTGCTGCAAGGCGGTGCAATTTCTGTTCCTTCCTTCCTTCCTTCCTTCCTTCCTTCCTTCCTTCCTTCCTTCCTTCCTTCCTTCCTTCCTTCCTTCCTTCCATCCATCCATCCATCCATCCATCATAAACCTTGCAGTTTTAGGTTTCTGTTTTGTGTGTGTGGTTTGTAAATTAACTTTTAATGTTATCTGCAGAAGGTTAGTACATATCTCAGCATTTTTGGCTACCTACTTGTGTTAAACCATGACAGAATTATAGCGGCGAGAGTGAAAAGGAAAGTTTACAAGATGGCAGTGAGACCTGCTATAATATATGTTTTGGAGACGGTGGCACAAACAGAACGACATGAGGTGGAGCTGGAAGTGGCAGAGTCGAAGGTTGTAAGATTTACATTGGGACTCACCAGGATGAGTGTATCAGAGGGACAGCTCAAGTTGAGCAGTCTGGAGACAAAGTTAGCAAGGTGGTGTAGAGACAGTTTGGACATGTGAAGAGGAGGTGTAGTGGATATATTTGACAAAGGTTGTTGAATATGGAGCTGCCAGACAGGAGAAAAAGAGGAAGACTTCCGAGGAGGTTGTGTGGATGTAGTGAAGGCAGACATGCCTTTCAGACCTACAGTTAATTTGTCTGCCACCATTTAATGTAGCAAATATGCCTTTGGACTGTTAGAGTAAGCCATATTATGCAGAGAGAACCCATCCAGGCATAACAAAAAGACAGAAAGATTTTCTACTTATCACTGACTTTTTTTGGATGACTTCTTAATCATCTCATGTTGATTTCTGTTTTTTTCCCCTTGTGGTATCAGTGCACTGCCTACTCAGACCTACCATGTCCAAGTTTGGTTGTCGGCACATAGGCAGTGAGTGGAGTGTAGCAGATGCAAAAGAAATACCAGTGTAGTTACTGATTCAACACAATGTCTTATTATGCAACCCAAGGCTGGACAGAGGAATTGTAGTTGCTGGCTATTTATGATGCTAAAAAATAATTACTTATAAAATAATAAATATCTAGTAACTTAGTGTTCAACATGCATATATTGTGGAATATTGTTCCTCTGTAGAAATTAAGAAGAATTCAACACTTGTCTTTGTCTTAGTCTTTGTAATCCTCCTTTAGAAGTACATTGTGGTTAGACCTTAAAGATTTTTGTATTGGAAAAGTCCTTTAGAATCTTTAATACAATAATCATCAAACATGAATTTTATATAATATATGTAATCTCAAACA